TTCACACACTCCTGCACCCAGAAGATCACAGACCAACTTAACAAATCTCAAAGAAGCACGCGCTCATCCTCCTGAAACCGAACGAGAAACGAAGAATGTTCGCGGTGGTTTCAATCTCTGCCGGCCGGTGTATTAATATTTATCGAGCGTTTCCGAGGCGCGGTAAATATGAGGGCGAGTCGGAGCCGCGGCGAGGCGAGGCAAAGTGAGGCGGCGTACGATAATTTCATTGCTTAATTCGAGCTCGCCTGGTCCGTGGCCCAGAGGGGTCAAAATCGGAGTCTCGAGCAAGGAAATCGGCCGCGTTATACTATATACAGCAACACGCGTCCTCCTTCCTTTTTCCTCCAGAAATCACCGCACGAAGATCCCTACGCGAGATCCCTCGGATCGCCGTAAACGATCGTTTCGTACCGGCTTGAAAAATATTACGTCTTCATGGACACCGAGGTTACACGCCGCCGTCGGTATAATTTCGTCATTAAACTCATCTCTCCCCTTCCGTCCCGCTATTCGTTTCATCCCTGTGCCTCGCTCCGCCACTTATCGTTCAACTGCTCAACCAACGAGAGAGAGAGAGAGACAACGAGAGGGAAAAAAAGAAGAGATCGAGGAAGAGAGAGAAGACGAACGCCGTCGATCGATCGATGATAATGATCCCGTTGATGATAGCTCGCTCGTTATTATACACGTCTCTCGTCGGTGCAACGAAGAGATGCATATTGAGAGACAGAGAGAAGAAAGAGAGGGATAAGAGGTGCGCGTTCGTGTTTTAAGAGCTGGAAGCGATTGGTCGACGCCATTACTCACACCGTTTGCGCCTGCCACATGGCTCGATGGATCTTTTCTTCTCTTCTCGCGCCTCCGTTCTTTCTCTCCCTTTCTTTCTTTCGCGTTGGTTACTTGCGGTTTTACTTGCACCAACGGTTTACAGCCTGTATTTGCTGTCCCGTGCCTTCTATATCGTATGCCTTCCGGGTAGGTGTATGTGAACAAGGGATGGTTTATTGGGTAGGAAGATTTTCGGAGGAAGAATTTATTTATGAAGATTATGAATGTTGGAATATTGTACTGTTCAGCCTTGACACTTGCAGTGTTCAATGCTTGACAGTAGAACAACTGGAGTTGGGTTTAATATGTTCTTACTACTTCTGTTTATTTAGGTATGCTGTCAGGTGTGCATACCAGGCGTAATTTTTAATTTCCACAGGATTCTACACACTTTTCTCAAGGATCAACTCAGTTTCGTTATTTCGAATATGTAAGAATCGTTGATCCTTGAATTAAAAAATTTTTCGAAGGCCACTTTTGTAGCATCTTCAGTTCCGAATAATGTATTTGTGAAAAAGATTGTTCAGGTGTTTAAAAAAATAGAAGTCTATTAGGAAATACAAAAATTTCATTTCTTTCAATAATTCTTATAATTTTGAGACTTTTTTCAATATTCACATGAATATTTTAAATTGTTTAAATTTGCTTTTAAAATGATAATTTTTTACTAAATACCCGACTAAAACATTTTATTTTATTTCTTTTTTTTATTTAAGCAATATTTAAAATTTCTTTCAACAAATAATACAATGTATGAATTTCTATAACTATACATAGTTCAAACAAAAAAATATTTTTATATACCTTTAAAAATTATTAAAAATTTCCATATACCGTATACGTTCTGCTGATTTTACGACTACAGCACTGGTTACAAGCACCTTAATTCGTTAAAAAAGTGGACATTTCTTTTAACCACGTTCCACTATTTTACCGAGCACTAGGATTAAAAGCTCAGTTAAAAAAAAAATTGTCAGTTTGTATCAGTTTTTGAAAGTTAGGGTATTAGCAACGATGAATATTCATTCTCACCGTCAGTTCAGCTCGCTCGTTTCACGCGAATATTCTTCTTCTATTACCGTCAGAACGTAATCAATCACCTAGGTGATACAATCGTTCTTCCCGTATTATTCAATCCGCGATATAATTCCCTCCGCTCGTTCGTTGCCGAAAACTTTCGAACAACAACACACCTGCCAGAGAACCACGACTTTCCATTCTCTGTTCCGCGTTAGGAGACTCGTTACGTCAGTTCGTTCTCCAACGAAGAAACCAACATGGTGGCAGCGGGGTTGGCCGTGCGTTTATGCAAACCGGCCCATTAGCGGGGAACCGACGCGCGTCAATCCGTTTTAAAAGTGGCGCGTCAAACTCGCACGCCAGGCGCACAGGATCCGGTGAAACGCGTGTGCACGATCCTCGTCCGTTGGTAAACGTGTTCATACGACTCGTCAACGGCTCGTTAAATTCAACAATGACGCGTGAACACGAACGGAAAGTTACGTACAGTGCTGAAACTGTGCCACGGCGAATGCGAGATTTGCATGGATCGTTTAATGAGAAATATTCGCCGATCGAATCAGAATTTTGTTATTAAAAGAAGTTTCCGTCGCTTTCTAATCTTCTGGAAGTGTGTAGAATTTTTTGGAATCGACACTCTCCTTCGCTAAATAATTGTAAACTCAACCCCTTAACCTATGATTTCTTTTCTGACTGTGCATCTAAGCGTCAGCCATTTTCTGTTTTAGTACTGTATCGGGTGACAAGAGGTAATCTGTTACAAATTCATTGCACTTAGCAATCCTCAGTCTTACGACTTCAAGCGAAAGTTAGGATTACGATGAAGTTTTCTTACTAATGTAACTATTTCTATCACCTCTTCGCCAGAATCTCTGCCACGAGTCTGACAGGTTGTCATAGGTTAAGGGGTAAAGAAGAGAAAAGAGACCACTTTTGTAGCCCGAAAAATAAGCGATATTTAACAATTTTTGTTTTGTTGAACTAGTAAAGATATCGTAGTACTTTTTCTTTCGTTAGAAAGGGACATCTTTGGACTATAATGGACAATTTTTGTTCCGTGTAATTTTCAACGTTGTTATTGTAAATTTTATAGATTAAGGGGAAATGAATGGTACGAAATGTGTGAGATTACTGAAATTTATTTATTTGTGCGTTCTATCTACATTTGTAGTGCACAATTTTTGGCACTTGCGTCGTTTACCATTTCATCGAAATTCTTCGGTATTACTTTTACACGTTGAAAGGTGCTTTTTCCGTAGAACTTGCTTTCGAGAAGAAATTGAAGCCTAAAACGGCACAGCACACGCTTCCGTGATCGTTCGAAGGCCAGTCGGTGCTCGCGGGCCATGACGCGACATGACAGTCTCTTTGTGCAGGACGTTATGAAGATGTCGCCGAACGAACACCGCCACGGGGACGTGCGAAGCGTTTACAAAACGCTACGCGTACCACGGGGCCGCGTCACATCGACGCCGCTCGCATTATCTGATGGCACCGACATACGTCTTCGCTGTCAGCCGATCGTTAAGGGAACAATCAGACCCACCGGAGACGGATCGGCTTGCCAAAACCCCTCTTCCTCCTCCCCTCGCAGATCCTCTTTTTCGGTTCTTTACTATTTTTATTCCGATTTTCTCTCTCTCTGTGACGCGTCCGTCGTCTTCTTCTCTTTCGAGAATCTCGCTTCGTTCATTTTGAAATTATGACAGGGGATGAATCATTGAGAAAATTTGGAGATTGTATTTTAGTGAAAACGTTATTATTGATTTTTTATTGAAGGTATTTCCAATTAATATTCGTTCTGAGTCTTCTAAGAGATTCAGATTAGAAGTTGTATATATAGTAATACAAGCCTTGGCGAGGACTAGCGAGAAAGGACGTTAGCCCGTCCCTCTAGTGGTGGAGCGTAGGAGGTACCGCTACAAAATTGTAAAAGTTGTTTAATAATTCAGCCACTCAGAAGTCAAAATGACTAACTCCATATAGTGAGACTTATTAAATTTGCTTTATTTATGGAAAATTAAGCCATGTGCTTTGATACTAAATTTGGAAGAATATCGAAAAGTGGAGAGTTAATCGTTTTGACTTTCGAGTGGCTCAATTGTCAGCGGTGGATGACTATAGTCATCTTTAGTACACAGCTAGGCACTTGACGTTGGGTAACTAAAGGATTAAATGTTAAATTTCCGATTGCAATTTTTACGACGCGATGTATGAACATTTGACGTGACGTTAGAAGAAAGGAATGGCGTGGGCGGAATGGAAATTCGATTACTCGTGTCCCGCAGGTGTTTCCCTCGTGGTGTCCCTTTATTACGTGACAATATTGCGAACGCTTCTTGCCGGCAATAAAGCGCCTTAAGATCCACGCCAGATGTCACCATGGGTAGCGTCATATACGAGACCGAAATCTCAAATATTAGCGGATTCCCGGTTGGATAGAGAGGATGGCACGTCCACGCTCTAATATCGCGCTCTTTTTTCCCACCCCTCGCTCGTTGGACGCCGCGACATGTGCGCGAAACGGCTTATAAAACTTCCGTAGAGTACCGCCATCGCGACGCGTATCATCCCTGTCTTCGGACTGATGGAACCGCGACGCGTCAGACTGCCGCGGTTAATGTGTTTAAAAATGTTAAAAATATGTTTCACGTTGTTTATATCCTTGAAGAATTTAAAACCTTTTTTTAATAGTTTTACTTGGAGGAACTTTTACGAGAAACAGAAGCAATTCCTTTTAGAATATATCTTGTGGAGCAAGAAAAAGAAATTGTTGTTGAAGTTATTTTTAGGTTATTCGTTATTCAAGGGTTTGGTACTTTATGAAACACTTTTTGCATTCTTTCAAGTATCTTACCGGTTGATTTGAAAAGATTCCGGATATCCGCAGAATATCTCAGGTGCTGCCATCTATACACATTCGCGTGAATTTCTTTAACGACAACAAGTTTACCGATTGTCGATCAAATAGTGCTGACAGATATAAATACTCGTTTCCTCCCTTCGCGACAGCGTCGGTAATCAATAATGTTTAGACGCCATTACATCGCGCGTCAATAGTTGAAACGTTACGTAATGCTGACGAGGTCGACCCGAATTTTTCAAAAACTTCGTGTGATAAATTCATCGAACAACAATTGCAAGCAAGATAGTGTCCTTAGTGTATTTATTTTTTTTTCATATGAATTATGTATATACATGTGGATTTCATCGAGACGAGCATGTCACGGTCTTCGTGCGAACTCTGGTTTCTCTCTGTAATTCGAGCTTAATCCTTTCAATGTAATGAGACAAAAAGAAGGATGATGTTTCTCCTGATGACGCGATTGATAAAATAAGATGACCTCACAATGCGAGCTAAGACGCAGCGCACCCCTACTGCTAAGCAGCTTCATCACATTGTCAATTCCTGAAACAGATAAAGATTGGAACGTGAAGTTTTTGAACAGTTGTATAGTGAACCATCTTTGTTATACAAATATCTCATCAGTCTGCCAAGATTTTCCAACATTATTTTAATTCTGACCGTAATAAAAACGAAACCATTACGTTTATCATCATGTATAATGTTCTCCTTAAAAAAAAAAAAACTATTTCTACTTGAAAACTTACCATAATGGCATTGACAATATCATTCTGATTATTTTTGAGAGCTTTAATGGCTTTCCATCGGGTCACATTGGCTTGACACATTACTAATTCAACGTCCTTTTCTTCAACACCTGTTTCATCGACTTCTTCCTCCGATTCTTCTTGTATCGGTGCAACAACCTTTAAAAATACAAAGTTGAAGGAGTCAGTTAGAATAAAATATTATTGTAATTGTTTTGAATAATAAAATGCAATGCCTTACCGTGGTACTACCACCAGCTTCAGTTGCTGGAATAGCTGGTGGCTCCTTGAACTTCTCAGCTGCTGCTACTTGAGCTTGTTGACTGAGATCCTCGATCTAGAAAGCAAATTTTCTTTATAATCTTTGAGAAGTAAATCGAATTTTGAAAAGCAGAATAATTATCAAATATCAGTCTGCCAAGGTATCTTCAATATTCTTTTTCAGCGCGTAATAATCGAAACCATAAATAAATCATCATTTTTCCGGAACGCAAATTTTCTGTCTATACATAGCTTTAATTTATATTTTAAAAATTTCACCTTGGCTTCACCAAAAACTATGAAAGTATCCGAGACTGGATTCTTCAACACATCTGGCTTATTGATTACAAAGAGGATGTTCTTTGATTTACGAATAGTTACTCTGTTAACTCCTTGAACCTGCACATAATAGAGAATTTGGATTATTTATTCGTGCTTCAAAATAGATACTTAGAAACAAATTAATTCAACTTACAGGTTTTAATCCTAGTTTGCTCATAAGCTTTCTGGCCTTTTTTTCTCCTCGACTTTGTTTTGCCTTGGACACCATATCTATAGGAACACCGGTGACAGTTGTTCCAGGATAACCAACAGTACCACCAGCACCTGCATCGTCCAATTCTGGAACTGTGTCATCTGAATCTGAATCGGTTCCATATCCTGCTGCTGCTGCTTCAACCTTGGTAGGTTCAGAGCTTGCAGCTTTGTCAAGTTCAGTTAATTCTGGCATGTTTGTTGATCTGTAACAAACAATTAAATTAGACGTTACCAATTTACATATACATTAACTTTTTATTACTCATTAAGACACAAACAAATCTATAATATGTAAATTGTGTAAAATATATTAACATTTATTATTTTCGTAAAAATTTTACATTTTCTTCGCGAATCTAAGCTTTAACGCAAGATACACGTAAGAATAACTGTTCTATAAAAGATGCTCGCACATGTTTGATACCGGGTTAACAAAGTCAGCCCCACCTAGAGTGCACTCTAAATAGTATTATGATATTCAATGAACATAGACAATTTTATAAGCGCGATTGAATTCTCGATAAAATTTAACAACGGACAGTGCTATTAACAAATATAAACTAATTAAACGTAAAGGACAAACACGTATCGTACAATGATTGTCACAGACAAATGGACGTTGTTATGGCGCCCACCAAAGGTAGTCCAAAATACTTGCAAAAATACGATCGACAATTGCTCTTGTTATTTAATATTAACTATCGTAGCACGCTCGACTTTGTTCCAATAGTCGCGAGTAACACGTTTTCAGTTTCTTTGCGTTCCTATATGAAGCTTTATATCGTTATCGAGCATGATGAATTTCGTGAATAAAGACCGTGGAGCCACAAACATCTTGCACGATCATCGTTGACAATAAAACATATTACGCGATATGATTTGTATAAAAAGGTATGTTGGTTACTTGTCTCTCGATATTCGCGCTCTTTTACTATCATTACAGAACGATGCCGAAAAAATCGTTAGATTTACCTCGAACGATAATCCGTCGACGACCGGGCACTATTTTTACCATGTAAACTGAGACCAATTCACACATGTGCTCGAGTGTTCATGGTTTTGTACTTTTACGAACACAGAGCCCAAACGAACGCTTTGTTAAATCAGCACCCGCAATTGGCTACGTAAATTGAGGGGAAATGCATTGCGATTTTATGAAATCTCTGTAATAGTTGAAGAACCGTTAAAGATGTATAAAAATTGAAGTGTATTAAACGATTAACAATTTTGAAAAGAACAATTTTAATGTTCATATGTAATTTTCATATTATTCTTATGTTATTTCAATTAAAATAAATATTTGGAAAAGGTATTTTTAAATTTATTAATTTAATTATTAAGTACGATATAACTGAAAAAATGTTGATGTGTATTTTCATTGAAAAGTATATTTCTTTTAACAATTATTCAAACAGTTTTGCTGGTCGTATAAATACAAATTTTAAATCACATGTTTTACATTAAATACTAACTTTTAAGTACAACTGTGAATAAAAGTTCAATAATGATTGAAATCTAACAAAACATTTTTTAAAATGCGAAATATTTCATGATTTGCGTATAAATTAATTACATAAAAATCGCGTGTTTTACTGATCATTGATTCTTTTTTTGTATATCATGATTTTAAAATTTGCATTTCTTTTTACTTCTAAGAAATATTAGTTAGACACAAAAAACGTGTTACTATCACAATAATGCTTAAGCTAAAAAATCTATTAGGAAATAGTTCGGTGAAAAAAATAAATACTTTCTCCTTCCTTATTTCCATTTTTTATATAAATTATGGATATAAAAGAATCCATACCTTCCATAACATAGGATATTAGAGGAGTACCCAATCTACCAATAATGTGGTCGAGCACAAAATTTGCATACTTGCAAAATAGTATACATCTAATGAGAAAAAACGTATCATTCAATATGTAAAACGTTAAAGCGCAAAAAAAAAAAAAATGAAATGTCTTAAAAAAAAAAAGATGTCTTCCAATATAAAAACTAATGTCCACTATTGACAAGATAAGCAGTCTTGTATGAAACGTATTATTGACTACAATTTTCAACGTGGGCATTTTTGTAATGCTTAATTTAAAATCTTTAAAAGAATAAACGATTTCTAAAAAATTTTTCAATATATTATGAAATTTCATGATTTTGCAAGTAACAGATAGATGAAGCAAAAGCCCTCTAAGGAATTAGATATTGTCTTAACCAATACCTTTTCTAAGTACTTGCGATTATTTTGCTTCATTTTGCAGTTACTCGAAATCTTAACAAGAATTAGACAAGAATAATTTGGAATGACTTTTCATTCGATTATGAGAATATAGTATTTATGTAGCTTCTGTAAATACTATATTACTATCTATTGTCGAGTATGATATTTTTTACTTTTCCCAATTTTGTTCACGTAATACAGTATTTACGTCTCCGCTATACATATATACCTATACACTTATATACTACAACGCCAATTGCAGTATACTTCATAACAAAAAGTTTCATGTCGCAAATTGCTTCAAAATACATTTTCGTTAAGAGGAAGATTCGTCGATATCCATTTTTTCAACACTGTCTTCACAATTATGCACCTCTTTCTTTTCGGATTCTTCAGCATCCGGTTCATCTAAGGATTGCAGTCATTTGTAACATCAAAACAATATTAAAAATTACAAACATATTTAACAAACTTTTTCTTACCAGATGCATTTTCTATTGGTTTGGCAACATATTCAGATTCTTCTGACGCTTCCTTTGGTCGTTCAACCACTTCGATATCCGAATCTAAATATTATTTTGAATTTATTTCAATTGTTTTATCGAAAATATTTCTTAATTTTGTATTCGAACCTGTATCTGTTGTACTTGATAATTCCATGTCATTCAACCGGTGTCTAGCTAATACCTCACGAATAACGAACTGTGCTGTACTACTTGAAGCAGTTGTATCAGTGCCTAATTTTGGTGCAGCTGATTTCTGTTTTCTTGCAGGATTCCAAAAGTTGCAATAACAACATCTGAATCCTACAAAATAAAAGTACATATATTTTGAATATTTAGTATTGTAATTGAATCTTTATACTTAACTCATTCTGGCAGATTATGATAAATGTTTACCAAAATATTCAAATTCTTCTTTTAACGCCATTCCATTATGCGATTCACACTTTCGACAAATTAATGCATATCGATTGGATGGACCATCTCCGACAAGATAATCGATCAATCGATCCAAATAGGTTCTTTGCCGAGGTAATATCGGACGTGGTAAAGGAGTCCCTGAAATATTAAAGTTAAAGAAAAATAATACAAATGAAAGAATAGTATTAAAAACAAAAAATTTAGATAGTAATTATAATCTTAAAAATACTAACGATAACCCATGACTGAAGTATTAACAGATCTAACATCACTCTGAATAGGTGTATTTAATGGATTCTGAGTGGGAGCTACGCCAACTGGGACAAGGTCAGTGTTACCAGGCGAGCCACTTTGCACATTTAGTGGTTGATTTTGACTTGGTACTACACGTCTTCTCAGTTCCCCAGAAGAAGACATTGGGGACATAACATTGTGTGGTGTACTAAATCCTTGAAGTGTTTTTGATGGTGTCACTTTATAAGATAGCTACAATAAAAGTTACTTATACTGAATTTTTTATCTATTATTCTTTCATATTGTTCTCAATAATTTATCATCCAAAAATAAATATCTACATATTCTTCCTAAATTCATTATGAGGAAACTATTCAATGCACATAAAATACAAACCTGTAGTGGTGATAACTGGAAAATAAAGAAAAAAAATTTTGTTAATTAAAGAAAAATATAAAGAAAAAATTTACTTTGCAATTAAAATAAAAAAATTATATTATAATCCAAATCATGTTCTCTGCTTTACTTACAAGAGCCATTCTTAGTTGATCTGGAGCAAACTTTAATAGAATTTCTTTAGCTTTTTTATATGTTTCAGTTTCTGTAACTTCATCTAGAATTTTGTGTTTTTCTAAACGCATTGTACTCAATTTTTCTTCATTCTCAGAAATTTTACGTTTATAATACCAAGTTACCATTTTTTTTGTAAGCAATATTCTATGATAATAAAATTTTTAATTATCTTTCTAAACTTATTCAAAAGAAGGCACAAGTAGTTCATTGGAATAGGTACTTACAGAATTGGAAAGATTAACAATGGAATGATATAGAATATTTGATCATATAATGATGCAGGAAAAAAATAGAAGTAGAAAATGAATGCTGATATAATGTACAGTATGACACTATACAGAATAAGAGTTCCAACAATTTTTTTATGTCTCTGTTCTGTAGTATGTCCATATCTTTCTATCTCTTTAATTTTCTGTTAAAAAAGAAATTGTTAATTATTTTTAAAGTCACTAAATTAAATGATAAAGAGATCATAAATGTTTTACCGCATCAAGGTCCTCTAAAATTTCAATTGTTGTTTTCTTTTTCTGAAATGTATGTACTATGAACAAAAAAAAAGAACATTTTTACATAACATTAAATGTATGCATTTATTTACATATAAATATATCTTAAAAGAAAATCAAATTCAATTATTAAATTCAAATCAATTCAGCATTGTGAACCCAGCATGTTTATGGAATAATAATTAATATGAAGGCTTATAAATAACTCCATGCATAGCATATTAATTTATAATTTCCGTTAAATGATACCACTAAATTGTAATATATCTTCTCACTTTATTACTGCTATTATATAAGATAAAATTTATTAGTAGTATTCTATTAAACTTTGTCAAGTTTTAAAAAGAGCAGTTAGTAATATTATCATTTTTAAAATAGATACAGATATCTAAATGATGCCATGTATTCAGTTTTGTGCTTCAAAAAGAAAAAATTCAAATAACTTGAATGTAATGTCATTGAATGGTAATCTTGTATAGCATGCTAATTCTATTGCATAAATTAAAAGTCAATTTTAATTAATCATTCAGTGCTATGAACTTTAATTAGATTAAATTGTAATATTTGAACTATAGAAATGAAAAGTTATAAATTTTCAAAAGTTATAAGCTTTATAATGGAATCTATTTATAAAAAGTTACACATATGTTACTTTTCAGTAAGCTTTGTTCAAATCCCCTTATCTTCGCGCTTAACCTCGAAAATTTGTCAGCTATAAACCAATATCTTTAATTTTATTTTATTATAAAATAAAAGGACCTAATATATCATATTCTGCGGGTCCTTCGATATACTAGAAAACAGTATGATAGTATAATTATCCTCACATGCATAATAAAAAACTATATTGTGGCAGAATGTTAACCTTAATAAAACTTAGTATTAATATTATTTATGTAAGTATTGACACAACTTACACGAAATCTTGATATTATCATCCCCATGATGTCAGAACTTTAATGAACCTTTCTGCAAAACGAAAAATTTTTCAAATGCCGAACGTGAAACGGCTCAAACGTAATATGTCAAAATAAGAGATTCATGCAATTTTAAAATAGCCTAGCCGGGCGGTATCTACGTGTACTCGACCCAAATTTAAATCCCTCTGCGTTTTGTTCCGGTATTTATAGACCGAATCGTCTATAAACATTCTCTGAACGGCAACACAAAAAGATTTGTGATTTTAAAATTAATATTTCGGAAAAAATTAATATCTTCTTTTAGCGCGCAGAGTATTCATACAACGTGAAAATATATCGGTGAATCAACAGATGTCGAGAACACCTTTTCTCACTTGTCACTTTTACACGACTAAACCGGTCGAGCGTAAAAATGTACTCTTTAATTAAGATGCCATTCACTAAATTTACGTACCATCGAATTCCGTTTATAGTCACTGTGTTCGTTCCTACCGAGGATTAACTAGAATGGAAATACCGTATCGTTTGAAACTGTAAGCCGAACTGAGGTACAAGCCACTGTACATACTATAGAAGACAGTTTTGTTTAGAGACGCGTCCACTTCCCGCATCGATAAGGAAGAAATATGATTAACGAAAGAAATGTTTAATCGTATTGTAGTTAGTGCACAACATTGTTACATTAATAAAAAGAATTTCCATAGGGTTACATGTATTTATAATAGTTTAAAACATATATATGTATAAATAGAACTGACGTGTTACACTTGATCACTTAGAGATCGATATGTTCGTATTGCCATTTTTATTGAATATTAAATAGTAAACATTTAACGGTAAACAGTATACTTTTTTAAATATAAAATAGAACACGTTAAACAGATTAATTTATAGTTACTAAGAATACTGATAATTTAATTAAATCATCTCTTTTTACATACAATGTAAGTCATTGTTCAAGGAACCAGTTCATGCATTTTTCAGTTTCATATGACTGTTACTGCGAACTGTTCTCATCGCCATATCGATATATTCGTTTATACTAGGAATCGCTTGTTCGACAAGCATTATTTCCGAAGATGACATTTTAGGTAATCCAAAAACTTTTTGTACACCGGCTGGCCCAAATTGTATTTCACACGTAAAAAATCGGCATACCGGTAAAACGTTTGATCGTACGTAAGCAGAGGTAATCATATTTTTGAACCCGTTAAGCCCACCGGCCAATGTGAGAATCAGTTTGGCGGTTGCTGCTCCTTCGGACAACGTGGGTCCTCTGGATTCGATATTTGCCATTTCTTTGTCTGCACCACGTAACGATTGTAACAACATATCTTGTTGTGCCTAATTTGAAATATAAAGGATTAAAGAAGGGATAAAAATTCTGGGAATACAGAAGTTCGATGTAGATGATTCTCGTACACTGATGAACTGGTTCATTGGAGTAGCACACGACAAAAGCGGAACAATAGTGTTAGAATCTGCTCCACCGACCATTGGGACAGATAGGAATGCGGGATTTAAATCTAGAAGATTCGCGGTTATTGCCTCCATTCGCATACGATCAAGTGCGGTAGAACCAATGATTCTGTCCGGGTCCCACCATCCGGCTAGTTTATAAATCTCGGACACTATAGGAAGCGTAGCTGTGACTGGACGAGTGAAAACAGCCACCAAAGATTCTGAACTTATTTGTACCATTTGTTCGGCCATTTCGCACACATAAGGTGATGCAACCTCGAAATAAGCTGCCGGACTTAAATCCATATTCGGATTATTCTCATCCATCAACGCGATAATATTTATCTGCAGATAATATCAATTTACGTGAATCATTTTTAGTCCGAAATGTTTTACTGAAAATGTATTGTTCTTATTATTAGTACGGCTAACGTTATTTCATATTTTCTAAATGTATTAAATTAGAGAAATAAGATGACGAAGACGTACATCTTTTAAGGCGAGTTTTAATTGTTTTCGCTTAAAATATTTTATACGAGGCGACGTGTCAATGTGGTTAGCATCTAAAACTGCACCAGCCAATGAATCTTTTGCATCTACTATATGTATTCTTTTTATAAGGCGGGATTGTTTTAAAAGTACAGCTGTGTAAATTGTTGCATCGCTCCCACCAATTAAGCAAACTTTCACGTCACCCTTGTGATCTGGCAGAAAAGAATCGTAATTTTTGAATTGTGGCTTTTGAATATTAATGTCTGTTTCCTTTTTTGATTTTTGCTCAGTTTCCTTATTCTTTGTTTTTTCATCATCACTCGGCATATGCGAAATGTTTCGATAACGGTAACATGAAGTACACTTCCTGATAGATTTGAAAAGATATCGTTGTATTCCAATCATGATTAAGTATTTGTCTTGTAATGTGAATCATTTACGATAATTTTTTAATAACTTTGGAGTTTTTGAAATGCAGGAATGATAAAATTCGGAGAATACTTAGGTTACTGGCTTAAGGGTACATTGACTGATTAAAATATATAACAAACAATTGAATGATATTATAAAAATAGAATGCTTTACAAATTTATACAAGTAGTAAACATATTTTTTTTCTTTATATAATATGAAGAGAGGATA